GTGACAGGGGGGGGGGCAGGTGCTGGGAGGGCCTTACTTTTGTACTCCAGGTGGAAGCCGGCGGCGGCCACGCTGATGTCCGACTGGAAGTGCAGGTAGAGCTGGTTGGACGAGCTGTTGAGCAGGGCGGGCACCGTGGTCCCTGGAAGGAGGGTGGACATGGCCATTGAACATCACACGTGCATCCACTTTCCCGGATGCAAAACACGTGGGGATAGTGTGTCATGGGGTTTTTAAAAATATGTTTTTATTGATTTCAGAGAGGAAGGGAGAGGGAGAAGGAGAGAAACATCAATGATGAGAGAATAATGGATCGCCTGCCTCCTGCACGTCCCACACTAGGACTGGAGCCCACAACCCAGGCCTGGGCCCTGACTGGGAATTAAACCATGACCTCCTGGATCCCAGCTCTGTGCTCACCCACTGGGTGAGCTCCGTGCTCACCCCACGCCGGCTGGGCCTGGGGAAGTCTGTCTACATTGACCAGCCCAGGGCTGTCTGATCCCACAGGCTCACACTGAGTCTCAGCTTCTATGTTTCTACGTTGAGCCTGTCCCTTGCCCCAGGGGCAGTAAAAGTCACACATGTTCTCTGCCCTCCTCAGTCCATCTGTCTACATCTCAGGGTCAGAACACACGTGCTTGCCCAGCCAGCGTGGCTCAGTGGTCGAGCATCGAGCTATGAACCAGGAGGTCACAGTTCGATTCCTGGTCAGGGCACATGCCCAGGTTGCAGGCTCGATCCCCAGTGTGGGGCGTGCAGGAGGGAGCCGGTCAGTGATTATCTCTCATCACTGATGTTTCTCTCTCTCTCCCTTCCTCTCTGAAATCAATAAAATCATACATTTTTAAGAAGAAACACACATCCTTCTATTTCACTGTGCTCGGGGCTTCTCACTCACTTTCCTTTGACAATATAACCGGTATTTTTTCACTGGGACAGAGCAGGGACCCAGGGACAGAGCAGGGACCCAGGGACAGAGCAGGGACCAGGGACAGAGCAGGGACCAGGGACAGAGCAGGGACCCAGGGACAGAGCAGGGACCAGGGACAGAGCAGGGACCAGGGACAGAGCGGGGACAGGGCCAGAGCAGGGACCAGGGACAGAGCAGGGACCAGGGACAGAGCAGGGACCCAGCGCAGCCACGGGAGCTCCTGGAGGCGGGGCCGTGGAGCCTGGCTGGGGTCAGCCCCAGGACGCTCTGTCCCCGCTGTGCTCTCTGCAGCCCCGGGGGATCACACGGAATAATGTTCCGGCCGAGAGAGGAAGGGGTTTCAGACAATCACGTGTGAAGAGAAGAACACAGGCTTATCTTACATAACGTTTCCTTGCCTGGAAATGGTGGAGCCTGCAAGGTGGGGTGGCCGGGCCCGTTTCCACAAAGGCACGGAGTCTTTCCGAGGAGCAACCCTCCCGCCCCAGGCTCCGCCCGGGCAACGTGCCGGCCAGGCAGCCAGCGAGCAGGGCACCGCCAGGGCCTCAGCGCGTCTCAGAGGAGAAGGGGAGGGAGGAGGCCCGGGATGGCCGGCTGCACCCGTGTGGGCCCAGCTCAGGACCCATTCAACAGCAACAAAAGAAAGAGACACTGCTCTGGCTGGTCGTGCTCAATGGTCAGAGCGTCAGCCCGCGGATGGGAGGGTCCCGGGTTCGATTCCGGTCAAGGGCATGTACCTGGGTCACAGGCTTGATCTCTGGCCCTGGTTAGGGCCCGTGCGGGAGGCCACCAGTCAATGTGTCTCTTTCACATCCGTCTTTCTCTCTCTCTGTCTCTCCCTCTCTCTTTTATCTTCTCAAAAAATCAATGAGAAAATATGCTCCGGTGAGGAATAACAACAGAAAAAGAAAAAGAAAAGAGAAAGAGCCCCTGAGACCAATTTCACCTGCCTTTGTCCCACCTGGTGATGCGGCTGCCCCTCACCCTGTATCGCTTGTTGATTTGGGGGTGACATTTGCAGAAAGACCCACAGCTGACCACAGGCCAAGTGCATCTGACCGAGGCCACCTGCCCGTGCTGCCTGTGGCCTGAGTCCCCGGACTGGCCTCTGTGCCCTGATGAATGGGCTCCATCTCCTCCGGCCACCCCGCCCTCCTACCGCCCCCCTGCGTCTCCTTCCCAGGACATCAGCGCTCACCCTGTCCCCTGCTGACCCCACCCCACCTGGCAGCAGCCAGCTGCTCCCTGAATTCCCCTGAGGACGCCCCTCCTCAGCTCCGCTTCTTGCTGCCTCACTGTGGCCGCCTGTGCTCTCCGGGGGCAGGAGCCCGCCCTGTGCTTCCTGCAGGTTCTCTTCTGGAGCAGCACTGGCTCCCAGGGTGAAGGGCAGAGAGACAGACCCCAGGGCTGGGAGCGGGCGGGGGGGGGGCAGTGCTGTGGGGGTGACTGTTTACACCTCCGTCTATTCACTGTGCCCCAGTTCCCACACGTCTCCCCATCCCCCCTACAGCGCCAGCCCACCCTGCCCGACCCTCCCTGACCAGACCCTCAACACCACGTGGGAAAGGGAGGTCGGCGACTTGGGCTCCTGACTCTCAGCCCGTCGCCCCCCGGGAGCCTGCACCGCAGGCCTGGCTGCTGTGGCCACGCGTCCCGTCCAGCGCGGGCATCTGATGAGGGCGAGGGCGCCGGCTCGC